GGGGGATACCCCGGTGTACTGGAACAGACAGCCCCTGTGGTGGACGACGAGAGTTGCTGGTACCGGGTTACCGGATAGCACAGACACGAAGGGACCCTTAGGGGCGAAGAAAGTCATTGATCGAGTTCCTAGTCCACATATCAAGCGCTTTGAACATCTTACATTAGATGGATATGTGCGCTATATAAAACTACACTATTATTATTACTATTATTTATCTGCCCCTCTTTCGCTGATGATCCGTCATTTAATCATCAGGCCTATCACCTATAAGCAAATGAAATGTATACAGCATTTCCTAAAAAACAATCCCTGCTTTTGTACCTAAAATTAAAATTATACGTTGTCTATGAAAGCTACTATAAACTTCATGCGAGAAACACAAAATTCTTCGCTAATAAACACTTGTACAAATTATAAAACAATTACAATCATGAATTAACTACTTTTAACATAATTATTTTGAATGTCAACAAGGTAATTTCAAGCTATCCAGACATGACTTCAAACAGGCCTATAATGAATGACAGGCTATGTAATATGCATATTCATTTTTACTCACACCTTGCCCATTCGCCCCATGCATAGATGGAGGACCTTATTTATTTTTCACAAAATAAACATAGTAAAGACAATTAAAAAACATGATACAAAACACAATTGAAAGAGTAAACGTCATAATTTAAAATGCATAAAACACGAATAATAATTAATTTATGGGCTCACATCTTGTAATCCATCATGTTTTAAATACAATTATTAATTACACACTATTTATTTAAGCAAATGCTTCAGTTTGAACAAACGTTTCCCCTCTCAAATAATCATTTTATAAGTATTTTTTTGTGTATATTTAAAACATTTAATGCAGTGGCTGATGTAGAATGTAGCAATGGGGGAGGATAATGCAAGGTGCAAAGCATTGAGTGTGGGGGATGGGGCGTGGGAGATTTTGGGTGGAGTCCTCTTCAATTCAAGATTTTTTTTATTTCGAATTAATAGGAGGTTAGTAATTCTTAGATAGAATCCAAAAAGAAGTTAAGTTTAAGTAGCCTACTACACGTAATATGTATACACGAGATCACACAAACACAAGACGAGCGATCATTTTTTTCCACACTAACCGCCTGGGGTGCCTAGCCACACTATTCACCAGGACAGGAGTTGTGTGGGAGAGGAAGTTTGCGAATGGGGACTTCACCACTTGGCATAATATACCCCATGATTAATCATGAAGTCACGAGACCAAGAAACCTGATGAAAATCTCCACCTTGAAGAATATTGTTGGTAGACCCCGACTAATCAATAAAATAAAATAATTAAATCACAATTTAGAGTCGGTTGCCTTTTGCATGCTGCTTGTCTACTGCTTTCTGCCTCCGCAGAGTGATATCTTCCATATTGAGAGCATTTGGTTCTAATTTAAACAGTTCAACCGAACGACATTCCATTTATTCACTAATCAAAATTGTTGTCCTTTTTTAAGAAAAAAATAAAAAAATAAACGTCCTTGTAGACTTTACAACAGTAAACGGAGACCCTCCCTTCACATTCCCAGCTGGAATTTATTACTTTCCTGTAAATACTTCATTATGGGTCGGGTTCAAACTCATCAGTACCATGCACCCATAGTTCGAGTCTGTATAATGTCATAATGTTTCTGAAGTCAAACATTGATGTGCATGTTACTTGTTAGCGTTGCCTCCATAAAAATAATCATAGACTCTGATTTCTTTTATGGATGCTTCTTCTCAGAGGGGGAATCTACAATAAAATCTCAAATGACCTTATCAGACGTTGGCTTGTCAAGCTTATGAGTGATTCGTAAAACAACAAATCGATACAGCATACTGTATTAGGCATACGTATTGACGACCGGATGAATTTAAGTTACAGGTGTATTTGATGATTAAATGTCTAAATTGAATACGATTTTAATACCGGTAAGCATTCTTGACGACTTTAAAATATTTTTTGAAAAAAAAAATACAAGAATAAAAATGCATTTTTCAATAAGAAAGATGTATTTGTGTCGATTGAGGGCCGACACCTTGAGGGCGGACATTGTGTATATTCACCTAGGTGAAAATGACATTACAGACTGTCCAAATGAAGTCATTGTGCAAACAATTGTTAACTTGGTAGAATATCTGGTACATGGCCTAGAATGTAAACATGTCCTGATTGGTCAACTGCTAAAACGCCATCCAACCCGCGTGGGTAATTTATTTAACGATTCAGTTTTGAACAACCAACAACTTCAGGCAACTTATGCTGAGGACAGGTATGTGACTTACTGGAGACACAGAGGTCTTTGGAATGACTGGTCACACATCCATTCCGATGGGGTACATCTCAGCACGTATTCCCCTCAAGGCCGGTCGTCAGGAATGTATAGATATGCTAGAAGCGTCCGCCAGGCTATTGTAAATGCAGAAACTATTGTGAGCCCAGTATATCTTTATGTTTAATCTTGTTATTAATTTATGTGAACGCTGGCAATTAGCAGCCATTACCGACTATGTGTGTATAAGAATAATAACAAAAAAAAAAAAAAAATAAAAAAAAAAAATAAATAAATAAATAAAAAAAAAAAAAAAAAAAAAAAAAAAACGTTGCTACAGGTGAATAAGGTTATCGTTTATTGGCCGTTATAATGATGTTTAGATATATAGAAATCTCTGTCGTTCCACTGGACGACTTAGGCTGATTGCTATTGGTTAGGCAACGTTTGATTGCCTAAGGGCTAGTTGTGTGCCTCCGGGCTATTTGTGTGCCTCCGGGCCAATTGTTAGCCTCCAGGCTATTTGTGCGCCTCCGGGCTATTTGTGTGCCGCCGGGCCAATTTTTAGCCTCCGGGCTATTTGTGGGTCCCCGGGCCATTGACATGCCTTCAGGCGATTGCTTGCCTGGGTGAGCCCCAGTATGTTCACATATAACTTTCGTTAATTGCACCGTACGATAGTACGGTCTTCCGGGGACGGAGATACGGTCATGCCGCTAGTTAGTTCACATTTTACAACACATTATTGAATTCTTCCTTTCAACAATCTTTTCAGGTACAATGCCAAAAGCACAAGGTCGCCGTTCAGCTTCTAAGGCTGCGGCCAACAACAAGAAAACTACAGCGAAGAAGATAACCAAAACAGCAACATCGGTGCCAGAGGTAGATTATGTTATGCTAGCTGCGGAAGTAGCAAAAGTTATGAAGGCGGGCGATGCAAGCTTATCGGCGTCTACAACCCATCCACCAGCTACAGCTGCCTCATCGACTACAGAGCCTTCGGTCACCGAATTACACCAGTCAAGCCATACAATGGGGCATATAGGTGACCTGTTTCCAGGTGAGACGTCGAGTTATTTGCCGATGTCAGATTCAATCGCACTAATCAGTCCTTGCCTCTACTTAAATATGTTAATAACATTTTAGAGCTGCACGCTTTAGACAATGTAAATTGGAGGTCGTACGACGAGGGCTTCCGAAGAGCACGACAAGGGAGTCCTTTGAAATGGGAAGCACTCCACCCTGAGCTCATGCTAAAGTTGGCATCACTAGGCAACACAAATTCAAAAGGGTACCTGCGTGGCCAAGGGCAACATAATTTTCGTGGCCCACGGGTCTGTTATACCTTCAATTCCGGTCAGTCATGTCTATCCCCAAACTGCATTTATGCCCACATCTGTTCCGTCTGCCATTATTCCCCCCACCCCCGAACACAGTGCAACAAAAGGAAACCTGCCAGTACTGGTCAACAAATGCGTCGCAACGGTGTCCGAGCCGCCCCATCTACCAACTCCAGTAATAGTAAATAAATTGAGACAATTTTTGTTAGGATACGATCACAAACTTTTCCTTGAATTGATCAGTGGGTTCACTTTTGGCTTCCGCCTCCTTTGCTCGAACCCGCCTTTTCCAGGCGTGGCTCGGAATCACAAAAGTGCTCTCGATCACCCAGAACAAATTAACGACTTTATAAATAAAGGCTTGCAGGTGGGTAGATTAGCGGGCCCGTTTGCGTCACCACCTTTTGATAAATGTATAGCTTCCCCTCTTGATGTTATCCCTAAAGCTGAATCTGGCAAATTTAGGATAATTCAAGATCTTTCATTCCCCCGAGGAGCTTCCGTAAATTCTGGTATTCCACACACTGCTTCTCAAGTTACACGATTGATAACGTTATCTCTTTAGTATTAAACAATGGGCCGGGATCTTTAATGTCAAAAACCGATATAGAGGACGCATTTAGAATTATCCCTATTCATCTGTCTGACTATCACCTGTTGGGCTTTACTTGGAACGGTCTTTAGTACTATGACCGGTGTCTACCTATGGGGGCTAGTCGTTCTTGCTGCATTTTTTAATCATTTAGCACAGCGTTAGTTTGGATAATGCGGTCTAGGTTTAAGGTGTTGGATATATCCCATATTCTTGTCGACTTATTTTTTATTGGTCCTAAAGAATCTAAATTTTGTCGCGATGCACTGGCTTATTTTCTTTTTCTTTGTAACAAGATTGGAGTCCCTATTAAAGAGTCAAAAACTGTAGCACCGACAACTGTCATTACAATATATGGAATTGAAGTTGACACTGTTTCAATGGAATGTCGTCTACCTTTATCTAAAATTAATAACACTACGGCAAAGATTATTGAATTTTGTAAGTAGGAAAAAGGTTACGCTTCGCGACTTGCAGTCATTGGTGGGTCTTCTCAATTATGCTTGTAGCGTTGTGGTGCCGGGTAGGGCCTTTTTGAGGCGTCTGATAAATGTATTGTCTTTAGCAAGGCATCCAACTCATTTTATCCGAGTGACACAAGAGGTTAAGGATGACTTGCGTATGTGGTTGAGTTTTCTAGAGTCTTTCAACGGGAAGGCTCTTATTCTTCAAGAAACCTGGTTTCATTCAACTACTCTACGTTTGTTTTCAGATGCAGCGGCATCCATCGGATGCGCAGCAGTATTTAATAATAAGCGGTTTTTTTATTGAATGGACACCGGAGTTTGAAGGTCTATCCATAGCTATGCTTAACCTATTCCCAATCGTTATTGCTTTGGAGGTATGGGGCTCTGATCTGTCCAATCGCCGGATTTTATTTCGTTGCGACAATTCAGCTGTTGTGGCTGTTGTCAATAAGAAATCTGCAAAAGATAACGTACTTTTACGGCTCATTCGGCGTTTGGTACTTGTATGCCTGCAACATAATATTTACTTCCGTGCATCGCACATTCCGGGTGTGGATAATGTTTTAGCCGATTTCCTGTCGAGGGGAAAAATTGCCCAAGCTTTAGAGTCCTTCCCAGATGTCAGTCGAACTCCAATTAGTGTCCCATCTCGTCTCATTTATATTTGAATTTTTATTTACAGGTGTGGTATGCTCAACTGATTTCGCACCCCTTACTCAAGAAGCTACCTCACTCATTCGCTCCTCTTTGGCACCAACAACGGTTATAGCATATCAACGCAGTATTCAGAAACTGGCAGCATGGTTAGGTAAACCCATTCAGCTCCCAATTTCTCCGGCTACAATTTGTAACTTTGCATGGATCAAATTACGCACCTAGAACAGTTTCTTCGACGATATCCGCTATTTCATTCATTCATAAACTAGCTGGTTTACCCGACCAGTCTAATTCCTTTCTAGTAGGGAAGATTTTACGCGGCGTCCATGCTACGTCTGCTCGTTCCGACACTCTTCTTCCAATCACTGCTGATATCTTATCTAGATTAATAATATCTTTAGACTCTATTGAACAGACATTTTGTTACAGGTTACTTTTCAAAGCCTTTTTTCTGACTGCCTTTCAAGGTTTCTTTAGAATCGGTGAATTAGCCGTAGGTAAAGGCGGTGTTGACAAGGTCATTTAACGCAACGATATTAGTCTTTCTCCTAAGTCTGTCTCTTTAACTGTCCACAAACACAAGACTGGGGTTGGTAAGCCACCTGTTCATATTATGTTCGAGAGGTCATCTAAGCCTCAGTTCTGTCCCGTGAAGGCCCTACAAGAGTACCCTAATCATTTTCACCACACCTCTGGTCCCCTGCTCCAGCATATGGATGGTAGACCCATTGTAGCACAGTTGATATCCGCCAAATTAAAGGAGGCAATTAGTTTTATAGGTCTCGACCCATCTAGGTATAAAGGGCACAGCTTTCACATCGGGGCGGCCACACATGTGGCTTCGCTTGGCCTATCATAAAATACTATACAACAGTTCGTTCGATGTAATTCTAAGGCAGTAAAAAATGATATCCGTATTCAGACTTTTATACTATAAACTTTTGCACAGGTTGTTCGAGCTTTGGCTCACGACACATGGTTGGGTTAAGCCTGGGGATAAATGGGTCCGTTGAGCATGGCTCCGAGATTTTGTAGTTTGTTTCTGGGTGTAACCCTTTCTGTTAGTCGGGTTTGTGGCGTGTGCACCCAGAATAGTTATATTTTAATTGTTTAAGTGTATTCATATTTGAATCTATTTGGTGCAACTCTTTATGAAACAGGTATATATTTAGGTAAGAATTTATGATTGTATTGATATGGTGCTCATGTGTAATTTAATAAGATAAGCAGAAATAGTATGTTAGTTTAGTGTACTAATACAGTATGTTTGATAGGGGCAGCTTCCACTGTATGTACAAGGTATTCATTTCACATGAATAGAGTAATTTAAGCTGTTGGTTGTGGCTGCCCAACATTTGTTCAAGTTGTGTTATTTATATTATACATTTTTTGTATTTGTATTATTCATTCGTCATTTAACAATAAATGAAAATTTCCATCCGAATTTGTGTGATCCTTTTATTTGTCTTGTCTGATCTCTTCGGCACAAAAATGAATTTTTCAATAAGAAAGATGTATTTGTGTCGATTGAGGGCGGACACATTGAGGGCGCTGTCAAGTGCATTCTGGGTAGCGTGGCTTGTCTGCCTGCCGTGTTTCAAGTGGTGCGCTTCCTTGCTTTCTGCATTCACTCTGAGTAAAGGCCAACTCAGACTACAGAGCCTGCGGTCACCCATCCACCAGCTACGGCTGCCTCATCGACTACAGAGCCTTCGGTCACCGAATTACACCAGTCAAGCCATACAATTGGGCATATAGGTGACCTGTTTCCAGGTGAGACGTCGAGTTATTTGCCGATGTCAGATTCAATCGCACTAATCGGTCCTTGCCTCTACTTAAATATGTTAATAACATTTTAGAGCTGCACGCTTTAGACAATGTAAATTGGAGGTCGTACGACGAGGGCTTCCGAAGAGCACGACAAGGGAGTCCTTTGAAATGGGAAGTACTCCACCCTGAGCTCATGCTAAAGTTGGCATCACTAGGCAACACAAATTCAAAAGGGTACCTGCGTGGCCAAGGGCAACATAATTTTCGTGGCCCACGGGTCTGTTATACCTTCAATTCCGGTCAGTCATGTCTATCCCCAAACTGCATTTACCCGACCCGATTTATCGTCGGGGACAGTCTTAAGCCGTCGTGAGAAATATTAAACATGTTTAATATTCTACGACGCGACTGCCACCGACGCACACCATCGCGTATGCGTTTAACTCACACAGACCCGACGCGACAACAAATCGCGTCGGGCTGCGTCGGCCGACGCTGTCTGAGTTGGCCTTAACAAGTAACAATTTTAAACCCACCATCCTCCCCTACTTCCGCCCGGTAGTTGTTATTTTCGATGATGCGGCGTGTGCACCCAGAATAGTTATATTTTAATTGTTTAAGTGTATTAATATTTGAATCTATTTGGTGTAACTCTTTATGAAACAGGTATATATTTAGGTAAGAATTTTTGTGTGTATTGATATGGTGCTCATGTGTAATTTAATAAGATAAGCAGAAATAGTATGTTAGTTTACTGTACTAATACAGTATGTTTGATAGGGGCAGCTTCCACTGTATGTACAAGGTATTCATTTCACATGAATAGAGTAATTTAAGCTGTTGGTTGTGGCTGCCCCACATTTGTTCAAGTTGTGTTATTTATATTATATATTTTTGTATTTGTATTATTCATTCGTCATTTAACAATAAATGAAAATTTCCATCCGAATTTGTGTGATCCTTTTATTTGTCTTGTCTGACCTCTTCGGCACAAAATACGATAGGCCTATAGGTCAAGAAAAAAAAAATTAAGAAGAGGATGACGTATAGAAGGGGGGAGAATTGGCTCCTTAACACCATGTGAGTAGATAAATTAAACAAGGGGAAAAAATGACAAACAAGAGAAACTGCAAATTAATTGATACTGAGGCTACGTTCAAATTATATAACAACAAATGTGAACAAGTATCCTATAATCGAAACAAAAATTACGGAACGGGAATGTTGCTTAAAACATCGTCGTAGAACACAGGATCTTGAAATACAAAATATCTAAACTACAACCAAGGCGGGAGAATAGAGGTACCATATAAAAATACTGAACACCGATCGAATCACCGATAACATAGACTGAAATAACCGAACTTGGTTATTATTTTTTGAGAACGTACAGTATCTAACATTCACTACGGTAACACGTCAGGTAGGAAAAAAATATCAATCCTAATAAATCTCCTGACGCAGAAAACATCATCGAATAATTCTGCATTTGAAAACATTGATAGGAATTTTACTATTTTAGATATCCATGATTCATTGTTCTCGACACATTTTGTTATCTGTGGTTTCTAAAGCCATAACTTCTTTTTGAACCCACCAGAAATAATCAATAAGTAATGCCTTGCGACTTGCTTTTAGTGGCAAGATGTTCAATCTACAACAGAAATAATGTAATTCGTAACTTGTGGACTGTCCAAACGCTTATAACGACCTGCCAAAGTATTTAAAGCATCATTACCCAGTCAGCAGCATGCTGACTGGGTTCTTTTTCTGAGCAGTTTCCCAGCGACACCTCTTACTCCCCAGTCTGGGATTAAGGTAACATAGGGGTCATCGGGGTCCAATTTTAAAAATAGCCAAATTGAGCTCGAATTTACCAGGAATGATCCTTAGGACATTCTAAACATGAAAAAAAAAAAACTCTTCGCCTATAGGTCAAAAGTCACAAGGGTCATTTTGGTGAAAATTATCAAATATTGCTAGTGACTAACGATTGGACCAATTGCATTGGACAGACCTCTACCAAACATGGGGTGCTCACAGCTTGAGGTCAAAGGTCACACTGGTCACCTTAGGGTCAAATCCTGAAAAATGACTGGGTTCATGTTCTATTGAACATAGTATCTCTAGTTCTTTCTTTCTTTCTGGCAACATTTTAAAAGGCTACTAGTGGAAAACTACTGGAACGATTTTATTAAAACTTGGTCAGTAGGACCGGTGCCACCTCCCATTTATGTGTTGTTCACAACTTGGGGTCAAAGATCACATAAGGGACATTGGGGTAAAAAAAAATCGTATGAAAGACTTCTCTCACAATAGAGCTCGTAATAAATCTCTGAACCTAGAGGGCAGTAAATAATCATGATGTTTAGAAAAATTAATTATGTATTCTGTGAGATCATAATTTTAAATTTCCAAAATTCCATTTTCCCAATGAGACGAAGTCTTTCATAGTAAAATATAATAATATCAGTCATTTTCTCTAGATTACCTGAACATAATTTCCTAAAACTTTGTGGCTCGGCTTACGCTAATACATAGGCAAAATTACAGACTACGCTCACGTCGATGTATTGATCATGTGCATTATTGGTGTAGGTTTTATTGAACGGCTAGACTATGGACTAAATGAATATCAATTAAGCTAGTCGAAAATTACATCGGTCTTTTGCTGACACCAATACAAATGTGTATAGGTTAGTTTATGTTAAAAACAGATTTGCTGTATTTGGTAGTAAGAAACCTTTTGAAACTCATTTTTTCACACCGACTTCACCAAACATATACTTACGACCACAACGATACGGAGGGCTGAATTTACCAATATGATGAAACATATTGAGTCCGCGTTGGCTCCAGATATTTGCGACAGGAGGTGCGTGGTGCAAATCTCTAGAATTTCGGTCGGAGTCCCGGGATAAAAAATCTCTGGTAGGGCTCATAGTGAGAATTTTCGTATTGCTTAACATACAGCAAACATTTTACTTTTGGACCACAATATAGGGATTGGCAATCAAAATTACGTAAAATTGATAGAAAAATTAATATTTTTTAGTTCGACAAAGTCTTGGTGACCGGGGTTCCTGTCCGACAAGGAAGGGGTGGGGGAGCCAACTACCCTCCCTGCACCGATGGCAGGTAATAAACTAATTGTTTTTTTCTATTTTTTCTAACGTCAGTGTCATATCTTTAATTTTGGTTATGTTTGATACATATTTTTTTGTTTTTTTTCTTGTACATATTGACATATGGAATGCAAAAATTGATGTTAATGAGAAAAAGATTAAAATGCATTATGTACTTGTACATTATTTATGATCCTAGATATTTGTAATCAACAACACTTTTGGGGTAGGGGTAACATCTATGCTCGTAACCAACGGCAGCGAAAGCGGGGGTGGGGGGCAGGAGCCATGATTGACCCACCTACTTTTTCTACTGGGGGCCTCCCCAGGGAGCCTCCCCCCCCCACACACACGCTTTTGTGACTGTTCCTAGCACCAGTGACAAACATTTTACGAACGCTGCAATGTCATAATTATTATTATTATTCTTATTATTCTTATTCTTATTATTATTATTATTATTATTATTATTATTTGGTGCTTTCACACTTTGTTTATTTGCGTCTTATAAATTGACCTATGATTATCAATTTAAAATATAGATTTTCTTTTTTTTTTTCATTTTCTAACGAGCATTACAGGTTCCCTTTTTAAATTGAGCAACCAAATGTTGATTGACGTTTGTATATCCGCGTCTGTAAAGTTTTCTTGAAACCCACCATCAAGCATGAAGAAAAAAATCGCCTGCCTTCGTGCATTCTG